ACTCCACAGGTTATGCTACATCCTCCACTTGTGAAATTTCCCACCTTCGTCCTTACCACCCTTCCATGGGGAAATCTTTGTTATACCGGTATACCGAATTACCGGTAAATCGCCCGATTCTTCGGCGGTATTTTCACAAGTATATACCCCAAAAATACCGGTATTTTCGGTATTTTTACATAAGCGTTATTTGATACATAATACACTAAAGTTTAAATTTCTCGGAACAAATTTTTCTTCAAATTCCATAATCGCATAAACAGCTATATCTTCAAGTGATTTTATAGGATAAACAATTGTCAAATATTATCTCAACTTGTCATTAAACTGAATATTTATTGCTTTACTAAGGGCTTCATATCGTGATACAATAAATAGAATTGGACTGATAGATAATGATGTTTCTTTTATCTTATGTAAAAATGTAAGGATTTTTCAAGTGATATTTGCGCCAAAATATTTTATATCATACAGATTACATCTGCGTAATCTTTATTTTTTTCTAACTTTATACATAATAATTATGATAATTACTGAATATTTTTGCATCTTATTTCAATTTTAAAATATTATTTTTTAAAAACGTTTCGAAGTTTGAAAATACTATAGAAGCATCACATTGTTTTAAATAACAATATTCAACAATTATAGTAACTTATTATTTATCTTGACAAAGTATCCGATCTTAAATTAGTGTAGAAAATTATTTTTTTAAATATTGGAGATTATGCTAATTTAACACATCGGATACAGACAATACAGTTTATTATAATAATGTAATATGATCTTTTATGAGTTTTTGGTCTTTCTTACTCATACGTTTGTTTTTGGTGAAAAGTACTCAATATACTCGATAGTGATAATGAATTAATTAAATTGGATATAATTTTGTTAAATTATTGTTTAAAAAATTAAACTTATTGATTCATTTTATTATTTTTATTGTTTAGTTGAATATAGTTGTAGTTGTATATACATTTTTTTATATTTGTACTAGTAACTTTCAATTTTGTTTACGTTTATTTAAGATAATAAAAATACCGGTAATTTATAAACGGTATGGGCGTGTTTCCATACAGAATTGGCCCCACACTGGTATTTAAATAATCTTGACGGCATTTTATAGATATTTTCGAGACAATCCGATATACCAAATTTCAAATTCGTAGCTCATCATTTGGCCGAGATATCACTGAAAATATGTGAAAGTGGCCCCTATAACGGAAATAACGGAATCCTATTCACATCGGTGTGTACTATATGATTAATAACAAATATTGTTTAATAATTATTTTTTATTGCAAGTAAATGTAAAAATAAGTTTTTCTTTTGAATTTTTTGTTAGTGCGGTTGTTTGGACTAATTGTTAATTAGTATCATTAGAAAGGCTATTCAATTTTTTTTACTGTCTTAAATTTTGTTTTATTTCATGTGGTAAAACACATTGAAAAATAGAAAAAACCTAGGAAAGTACACGCTCGCGCTCATATGACACCCGTGTAAGCCGCCTCTCATTTGCAACTACTCGCCGCGCGACTTGATAAATTCTGCATTTGGAATATTTCTTTGAAATACATTTTTAATAAAACACAAGGTATATACATTTATCTTTTGAATAATTATATATTCATATATATATATATATATATATATATATATATAATTTATATATTGCACAAGAATATTATGTGATTGATATTTTATACAATTATCACTAAATTAATATAAAATAGATTGATAAAAAATATACATAATAATAGTATATTGGTATATGATTTCTATTCATGCTACAACAATGTATAGAAATGTAAGTATACTAAGTTAGTCATAAATATATTAAATAATATCTTAAAGATTTTCTTAAATAAATATAATATATAATATATAAGAATATATTGAATTGAGTATCTCTACCTATAAATACTCACAATAATTGTTGAACTACTGTACAATTGTGCATCATCCTTAATTAAAACGATATTTGAAATGTCGTGGAAAAGCCGCACATAACTAGTGTTAGAACGAAATATCGAGTACTGAGTAAATATCGATACTTTGCGGTCGATAGTGAGTACTTTTGCTATCGATTTTTTAGCTCGATCTATTTGCCAATATCGATTCTTTTTTTTCGATAGTACTCAAAAAGAATCGACAGCGTAATCTATAATAACCACTCATCGACCAACTATTAACACTACTCATTGCCAAATGCAAAGCAATAGTCTCTCTATGGTCATAATTGTTCAAAGAAGTGTCAAAAAATGATCCCGAAGGGTCATTAGTCTCAGAATTTAAAGCTCAAAAACCCAAAATGAATATGACTACACTAATAAATGAAGATGTTTATTTATGACTCCTATGTAAAATGAAATGGCTTTTTAAAGTACCTTAAATGTTTTATAAAAACATATTCAACAATCGAAGTATGATTATTTCAATATATAGTATCACTCACCAATATATAAGTATAAGTACTCACCAATTTCAATATATTAGTATTTTACGTAAAAAAGAATCAAAAAATATAATTATTTCAAATAATAATATTCATCAATTTCAATATATTAGTATTTTGCGTTTATTATATTTCGATTCTTTTTTACGCAAAATACTAATATATTGAAATGGATGAGTATTATTATTATTGGAAATAATATATTTCGATTCTTTTTTACGCAAAATATTAATAAATTGAAATGGATGAGTATTATTATTCGCAATAATATATTTCGATTCTTTTTTACGCAAAATACTAATATATTGAAATGGATGAGTATTATTATTCGCAATATTATATTCCGATTCTTTTTTACGCAAAATACTAATATATTAAAATGGATAAGTATTATTATTCGAAATATATATTTCGATTCTTTTTTACGCAAAATACTAATATATTGAAATGAATGAGTATTATTATTCGCAATAATATAATCCGATTCTTTTTTACGCAAAATACTAACATACTGAATTGAATAAGTATTATTTTTCGAAATAATATATTTCAATTCTTTTTTACGCAAAATATTAATATATTGAAATGGATGGGTATTATTATTCGTAATAATATATTCCGTTTCTTTTTTACAAAAATTACTAATATATTGAAATGGATGAGTATTATTATTCGCAATAATATATTTCGATTCTTTTTTACGCAAAATACTAATATATTAAAATGAATGAGTATTATTATTCGAAATAATTTTTTTCGATTCTTTTTTACGCAAAATATCAATATATTGAAATGGATGAGCATTATTATTCGCAATAATATATTCCGACTCTTTTTACGCAAAATACTAATATATTAAAATGGATAAGTATTATTATTTGAAATAATATATTTCGATTCTTTTTTACGCAAAATACTAATATATTGAAATGGATGAGTATTATTATTCGCAATAATATATTCCGATTCTTTTTTACGCAAAATACTAATATATTGAAATGGATGAGTATTATTATTCGCAATAATATATTTCGATTCTTTTTTACGTAAAATTTTAATATATTGAAATGGATGAGTATTATTATTCGCAATAATATACTCCGATTCTTTTTTACGCAAAATACTAATATATTGAAATGGATAAGTATTATTATTCGAAATAATATATTTCAATTGTAACAGTTTTATTATTAAAATGAGAAACACACAATTATAAAACTATTAACTTTATTAAATATTGTTTGTGGGTTCACAGAAATGCGATAAAATAATACAGACACTTAATTAAACTTAGAAACAGCGCGTTGGATGGTGAATCAATTCGGCTCAGTGAAAGCAAAGATGATTCGGGCGTCAGGTTGCTAAGAACTCAGTGAGAATTCTTTAACAACAGCTTTACCGGACCGTTGTAACTTCAATACTAGACTGAAGTCCCAAGTGTTGGTCAGGGTTGGTTCTTCCACCGATGGAGTTTAGAAACAACTAGCTAATAATTTCAGTGAGAAATATCTTAACCATAAAGCTTATAGCCGCGGGCGAACTAAACACTATTGATAATATTTCTGATTTTGCTAGGCTTTTTATATGATTCCTTCTACTCCTACTCTTGTAGTGGGGTTGATTTTTTGGCGAGGGTGGTGGTTCCGAGTCTTCCTTCGTGTCCGTCCGAAGGCTCCTTTGCGTCGTTTCGGGGTTCGTCGTCGGTTCATCTCGCCAAAATCTTCGGGGATGAGATGGTCATTGGTCTATGATGAACTCATCTCGCTTGAGGTCATCGGTAATTGGCTATGACAAATTTCTCCTCCGATGACGTAGAGTGTGTACATATTATTATCTTTTTCACACCCACGCTGAGTCACAGGGCAAAGTTGGATGTATCATAGTATTTATCTTTTATCTTTCTTTAACTTAGACTGACTCATAGGCTTAAGACATTTTATCGCTTGCTTACACGGATGACGCGGATTGCATAAGTTCGTCATCCCTTTCTGTCCGTACGCCTGAGGTCTAACGGTATCGTGAGTATTCGTAGTAGAATTTTCCGTCCTTGTCGTACCTATGCTAGTGCGTATGCTGCATCTTGCCTCCGCGTAGGACCCTACGCTCATCGTTGTATGTGTAAAACTTTCTCTTTGGTGACGTCACGCGTATTCTGGTGCGTTGTTGACAAAAATATTCACGTACAGCAAATTTTGTAAATATATTACGTTAGTTTGTTAAAATGATAATTGTTATATGACTAATATTAATTAAATGTAGAATGTTACAGACTCCCCCTATAGATCTACAGTCGTCTCGGCGGAGAGTCCATACATAGAAACATTCTATTGGAACGTGGTTCTCTTCTTGGCCGACCACGCTTTCTGATCGGTATCACGTGTGTAGTATCTTCATCTCCTACGAAAGGTGATAAGGCAGATACGTGGAATGTTCCTATGATTTCATCCGTGTTATCTGCGCGTCCTACTTCGCTTGTCGGGCCTCTCTGCTGTAGTATGACATATGGCCCGTCGCGTCGTGGAGCGAATTTTGACGTAAACCCTCTTTAAGCATTACTCAGGGTAGGCGTGGCTACCCATACTCTGTCTCCTGGGTTGTATGCTCGACCCGGTCGTCGTAGCTTGTCTGCGTACTTTTTTCGATTGTCCTGTTGTTTCTCTTGCGTTTCTCTTACTTGTTTGAAGGTTTTGGTCATTCCAAGCAGATGGGGGGTAATATCCGGTATAGGATTTTCTTTTTCGATAATCGCCCTGAGGTCCCTGTAGACATCATCCGTTGTCTTGAGTTCACGTGCAAGGTTGCGGTAAGCTGGGCTGTAGCCAGTGCTCTTTCATTTGGCCAAGTTCATAGCAAACCTTATTGCAGGTAATTTCTCAGGCCAGGTGGTGTGTTTTTCGCCTACCAGAATAGCTAATTGCGGCTTGAGATCTCGATTGCGTCTCTCCACTGGATTTGCCTGTGGGTGGTATACTGGGATGAGATGTTGTTTAATTCCAAGACAGTACGTAGTATGCTGCATGACGGCGCTGACAAACTGGAAACCATTATCGCTGATGAGCCTCCTTGGAAATCCGAAGCGTAGGAATACCTCGTCTATGAGAGTCTTCGCACACTCCTGGGCTGTGGCGTTTTTGAGCGCGAAGAGTTTCACCCATCTGGTCGTCGGGTCCTCAACAATAAAGATCCATTTTAAATCAATTTCTGATGCCGGTAAGGGTCCAAACAGATTCATAGCTATCACCTCAAATCTTTGCTGTAGTGGTGGCGTTTGTATTAGTCCTGCTGGCTTCTAATTCGTTGCTTTGTACCGCTGGCACTCCACTCAATCTTTCAAATGTGCTATAATATCTCGCCGCATACTGGACCAATAATATAGTTGGCAGATTCGTCCTATGGTGCGTTCGATGCCTGTGTGTCCTGCGGTGGAGGCATCATGATATTTGCGTAGGATATCCTTGACTTAGTGTGATGGGACTACCAGCTGTGGCTCTTCTGCGTCAGAGTCCGGATAATATTGGTATAGAACCCCTTGGTACATAACATACCCTTGTTCTGTCCATCTCTCTCTCTCTGGTAGTCTTGTCGATCTTCTGTTGCGTCGTCCATCTGTCCCACCGTCGATATTGGGTCGTGATAACGCGTCTGCTACTACGTTGATTCTACCTGGCGTATAATCAATCTGGAGATCGTATTGCTGCAATAGTAGTGCACATCGCGCCAGTCGTCCACTGGGCGATTGTAATGTCATCAACCACTTCAGAGGATCTGTAGCTATGGTTATCTTCGCTCCTTCGATGTAGCCGTAAAACTTGTTGACGGCCCATACTACCGCCAGTGCTTTGCGTTCCGTGGTGCTGTAGTTTCTTTCAGCCGGGGTTAGCAGTCGACTAGCGTATTCGACTGGTCTTTCGTCGGCGCCTTCTCCTTGTAATAACACTCCCCCTTGATCGTAACTGCTGGCGTCGGTGCGTAGAATATACGGCTTCATTTCATCGGATTGCCTTAGGATTGAACTTGTCATTAGCGCTGTTTTGAGACACTGAAAGGCGTTTTCTTGGTCCATATCTAGTCGTAGTTTTTTTTCGTCGGTTTACTTAGGGGTTGTGACAATTTTGCGAAATCCGGAACAAAGCGCCTGTACCAGGAACAAGTTTGCAAGAATGTTAACAACTCCTTCACGTTCCTGGGTGGTTTCATGTCTACGATGGCAGCAACCTCCTCGGGATCGGTGTGAATTCCTTCAAGTGTCACGACATGTCGCAGATATTTCACTTTTGTGCAGAAGAATCTGCACTTGTCTCGGTTCATCCGCAGGTTTAGTGCTCGGATCCTGGAGAACAAGCGTTTTAAGTGGATTAGGTGCTGATTCCAATTCTCTGAAAGAACGATGAGGTCGTCTAGGTAACTTAGGATTGGTACGTCGGGTAAACTTGATCGGAGTCGGTCCATGAGACGTTGAAACGTGGCTGGTGCGTTTTTTAGACCAAAAGGCATTCGCTTGAATCTGTATAGTCCGAAAGGGGTTACGAACGCCGTCTTATCGCGATTTTCTGGTCTCACAGCGACTTGCCAGTATCCTGATTTGAGGTCTATGGTTGACATAACCCTTGCCTTACTCGTCAGGTGTAGGAGAATGTCTATCCTCGGCAGCCGGTAGCTATCAGCTGATGTGATCGCGTTTAATTTGCGATAATCGATACACACCCTTGTACCTCCATCCTTTTTCGGAACCATTACTACTGCAGCTGCCCATGGTGAGTCGCATTCTTCAATGACATCTTGCCTGATAATTTCTTCAAGCTCGGTTTTCAGTGCCGCGCGCTTGGTTGGCGACAGTCGTTACGGCGGGACTAAGATAGGCGCGTGATCTCCTGTAAATATATAGTGTTCTGCGTGGTTGCAGGGACCGTCGGCTTCCTTGAAAAGGTCTGCGTTTTGGGAGAGTAACTGCCTAACCTGATATCGTTCCTCCTCTGGAACCGGGTGGGCTTCATGTTCGCGTAATTCCAATGAAGCTATGTGTATCGTAGGTACGGATTCAGCTGTACGGAAGCATGCATCAAATAGCGAGTCCAGTGTATGCCGATCGTCATTCTCTTCCGGTGGTGCAGCTGCTCTAAAGCAGGCATCAAATAATGAGTCCAGCATTAGTTGGTCGTCCGTATCATTTGTTTCCATTTCTTCTTCTATGTGAAGGGTGGCCGTAATTGTAGCTTCGTTGACAACTATGGTTTTCTGGGCTTGCATCGCCTTTGTAACTTCTTGCCGTGGTGCAATGTGATATTTTTATGGGTGGTCTTCAAAATTCCACGTGCGATTCTTCACATCCAGCACCAAGCCGGCTTTCTGCAAAAAGTCTATACCCAATAGAGTACGACCGTTTATTGCTCCTGGTATCACAATGAATTGAGTTGGTATAGGTTGATTTTCGAGACGCACAATTATCGTAGTTCTTAGGATTTGCGATAACTTTGATTCTCCGTCGGCCATCGTCGAGTTTATCAATATTTGTTCGAAGCGGTGTCCCGTGGATTTCAACAGTTGGTATAGCGTATGCCCCGATATCGAAGATTCTGCACCAGTATCTATAAAAGCGTATCCTACTACGCCTTGTACCTGAGTCCTGATCACTGGTCTGGGATGAAGTTCTCGCACTTGCTGTACAGGTTCGGCTGGGACTGGGGTTGGAGCTGGAGCTGGAGCTGGAGCTGGTGTGGTCCAATTCTTCTTGGCTATCCAGGCCAGTCGTTTTTTGCAATTCTCTTTGATATGCCCCCTCTTCTTGCAGTAATTGCACTTCTGTATTTCCTCCGTGGTTAGTGCGAAGAATCCGCACTCAACCGCCGCTGTCGCCTGTTGCACTGGTTTGGCAGTGCAGACTGGACACTTGCTTCGTATGACACCTGCCTCACCGCATCCGTAGCACGAAATTCGTGGCTCGACACGGGTTTCCGGTTTCTCCTTCTTCGGTACCTGCAGGGTTTTCTGCCTCTTCCGACATTCGCTAATGGTGTGGCCGATGTTGCCGCAGAAAGCGCAACTCTTCTTCTTTTCCGTGGTACTGCTGTCTCCTTTTCCTGCTTCCAAAAGGATTGCCTCGATGACGCGTGCCTTCTGTAGCAGCTCATCAAACGTCGTCACAGTAGTCCGTGCAACACGCTCACGGATTCTCATATGTAAAAGTCCGTAGAGCATGTCGATTTGTGTGTTGAGTGGCATCTCATAAGGTAGTTGGGCTAATAGAGCCCTCTTCTGACGGACGAATAAGTCCGTGCTTGTAGTTCTGTCTTGGCGTGTGCCGAAAAATTCGATAAAGATGCTGTGTGGAGGTTTACTAGTGGCAAACGAAGATTTTAGTAAACGGATTGCGTTGTCAAAGGTACTTGCCTCCGTTTTCACGCCTTCCCACCACGTAGCTGCTGTGTCTTGAAGCAGTAGTGGCAAACCTCGCAGAGCCATCTCGTCTGATATACCCTCTATAGCCTTGTACAGGACAATCATCGTCGTGAATTCCTCGACCTTCTCGGAATTCCTCGATCCGTTGAATCTGGCCGTGCATCTAGAGAAACTGCCTGCCGTCAGATCCGTCCGTACGCTTGCTTGCGTACAGAACTCAGTGAGAATTCTTTAACAACAGCTTCACCGGACCGTTGTAACTTCAATACTAGACTGAAGTCCCAAAAGTTGGTCAGGGTTGGTTCTTCCACCGATGGAGTTTAGAAACAACTAGCTAATAATTTCAGTGAGAAATATCTTAACCATAAAGCTTTTAGCCGCGGGCGAACTAAACACTTTTGACAATATTTCTGATTTTGCTTGGCTTTTTATATGATTCCTTCTACTCCTACTCTCGTAGTGGGGTTGCTTTTTTGGTGAGGGTGGTGGTTCCGAGTCTTCCTTCGTGTCCGTCCGAAAGCTTCTTCGCGTCCTTTCGGGGATCGTCGTCGGTTTATCTCACCAAAATCTTCGGGGATGAGATGGTCATTGATCTATGATGAACTCATCTCGCTTAAGGTCATCGGTAATTGGCTATGACAAAATTCTCTTCCGATGACGTAGAGTGTGTACATATTATTATCTTTCTCACACCCTCGCTGAGTCACAGGGCGAAGTTGCATGTATCATAGTATTTATCTTTTATCTTTCTTTAACCTAGACTGACTCATAGACTTAAGAAATTTTATCGCTTGCCTACACGGATGACGCGGATTGCATAAGTTCGTCATCCCTTTCTATCTGTACTCCTGAGGTCTAACGGTATCGTGAGTATTCGTAGTAGAGTCTTCCGTCCTTGTCGTACCTACGCTAGTGCGTATGCTGCATCTTGCTTCCACGTAGGACCCTACGCTCATCGTTGTATGTGTAAAACTATCTCTTTGGTGACGTCACGCGTATTCTGGGGTTGTTGACAAAAATGTTTACGTACAGCGAATTTTGTAAATATATTACGAATATTTGTTAAAATAATAATTGTTACATGACTAATATTAATTAAATATAGAATGTTACACAATTTTTTTTTACGCAAAATACTAATATATTGAAATGGATGAGTATTATTATTCGCAATAATATATTCCGATTCTTTTTTACGAAAAATACTAATATATTGAAATGGATGAGTACTATTATTTGCAATAATATTTTAGGATTCTTTTTTACGCAAAATTTTAATATATTGAAATGGATGAGTATTATTATTCGCAATAATATATTTCGATTCTTTTTTACGCAAAATACTAATATATTGAAATGGATGAGTATTATTATTCGCAATAATATATTTCGATTCTTTTTTACGCAAAATATTAATATATTGAAATTAATGAGTATTAGTATTCGCAATTATATATTTCGATTCTTTTTTACGCAAAATACTAATATATCGAAATGAATGAGTATTATTATTCGAAATAATATATTTCGATTCTTTTTCACGCAAAATACTAATTTATTAAAATAGATGAGTATTATTATTTGAAATAATTATATTTCGATTCTTTTTTTACGCAAAATACTCATGTATTGAAATTTTTGAATATCAACATGCGAACATATGGGTTTGAGTTTCTCGGAACCATTTAAACTTTAAATCCCATCGCTCCGAAGGGATGTTTCTCTACAAGTATCGAAATATTATCTTGACCGTCATATTACACTTTTATGTAAACATGTAACGGCTTTTTAAAGTTGCATGCTCGCTAAAATTATTCAACAGTTATAAAATATTAT